GGAGAGAGAATGGAACCAAGGAGAGGGTGGAATGAAGAGCTTTTCTAAACTATGGCCAAATGGTAGACCTACAGCTGCTAAAAGAAAAAGGCCTCCCTTTCCCAGGGACCACAGAGGCTAAAATAAAAGGTATAACCTAAACTGGAATCAAGGTAACAAAATGAACTGCCTCTGTCTGGACGGCGGCAAGAAGGGCCTAACCGTGCAAGGTAGTACATTGCAGTTGACCTATGATGTATCAGATCTCTATAGTTAACTTGGAAATTCCAGTCTTTCCATGACCAAATAGTGAAGCACCTTAAGATTGCTATGCGTCATAAACACACAGACATGACAGGGAAAGAGCAGGGCCCGTGGCTTAGACCTTCAGCAAGCAAGTCCCCTTTTCTCTTGGTTGGTGATGGGGACTGCTACCAAAAGTAGCAGCACCAGAACCTGGCCAGAGACTTCTCTCCTGGGACCAAAGCTGGGTGTTATAGACGTGCTGACTCAACTACACAATTTTATTTTATTTATTTTTTTTTTTTGAGACGGAGTCTTGCTCTGTCGCCCAGGCTGGAGTGCAGCGGCACGATCTCGGCTCACTGCAAGCTCCGCCTCCCAGGTTCACGCCATTCTCCTGCCTCAGCCTCCCGAGTAGCTGGGACTACAGGCGCCCGCCACCATGCCCGGCTAATTTTTTTGTACTTTTTAGTAGAGACGGGGTTTCACCGTGTTAGCCAGAATGACCTGGATCTCCTGACCTCATGATCCGCCCGCCTCGGCCTCCCAAAGTGCTGGGACTACAGGCGTGAGCCACCGCGCCCTGCCAACTACAGTTATTGACAGCCTACCCACTCTAGGCTGATCAACGGCCAAGGCTAGGACAGTTCTGCTGGGACAACCAGTCCCACTTCTTCCTCGTCGAAGGCACTCCCCAGTGGCCTTAAAGCAGAAACATGACTTGTGGTAGCTGCATTCCACAATGAAATTTCTCATATTTAAATCAAGCTTAGAGAAAAGGACCTCATATAAGTTCAGATTTTGACCTAAGAAGATTGAACAGGAATGAAGATATAACTCTATTTCTAAAACACGGCTGGATGTAAGTAGGGAATGTGGCACATGTCTACTCTGAGAACTGAGCTATGAAAATCAGTGCATGTAAATCCCTGTTGCCTGCCTACCAATATCTATTCTCCCCTTTTTCCTCTCTGACCAAACTCCAAGTTTTTTTTCAGGGTCACAATGTACCAAACTTAAAAAAAAAAGAAAGGAAGGGAAAAAGAAAAAAGGAAGAAGAAAAGAAAAGGAAAGAAAAAGAAAGGGAGCAAAGGGAAGGAAGGAAGGAAAGAAGGAAGGAAGGAAGGAAGGAAGGAAGGAAGGAAGGAAGGAAGGGAAAAGAGAAAGAAGAAATAAAAGAAGGAAAAAGAAAGAAATTACAGCGACCAGCCCTCCCTGCTGCATGAGGTGGCCATGTCACATTTCTGGCACCTGAGATGTAAGCCAGGTCACTTGATAGTTTTTCAAAGAACTCTTTAAAGGGGAATACTTGGCTGCTATCTGTCTTCTGTCTTCCATGAGTCTCCCTTCTGCCTGGAATAGGAAGACAATCATGCAGGAGCCGCCACCTTGCACTGAAGCACTAAGTATGAAAATGAACACCATGTGCCAGGCCATACCCTATGCCATGTGCTACGAATGGCTGAACAAGATGGCAGCGCCATGGAACCCCCTACATGTTGTAAAAGATCATTTGCTTTGCAAAGGCTTTTACTGAATTGACTGGCAAGGCGCCATGAACTAGGAATAAATTTGATTTACAAATAACTTTCTCACATGAACTAAAGACAGAGAATAACACAGACATATACTGGATGAGTCTCCTCCACTAACATGCTATTCAGACCGAATCCTGAAGATCTATTCACAAATGTACAGATTCTCGGTGTGGTCTAGGTGTGGCCTTGGGAAGAAACTCCTGAGAAAATGGAGTGGTGTGAAGCCAAACCACCTGCTCTGCTGGGTGACATCGGTCAATCACTCTGTGACTCAGTTTCCTCAACTGCAAAATGGAAATAACTGTTCCTACCTCAAAGGTGGTTGTGCCTATTAAATGAGCTGATATTTGTACAATGCTTAGACATGTACCTGATACACTGCTTAATAATTACTGAAGATCCACTAACATTATGGTAAAATTGGTGACAGTGTAGCTAAACACTAATAATAAAAGCCAGACAGATTAATTCATTCTGTAGACAACAACTTATTTCCTAAGGCACACATCTGTCAAATAACAAGGACATGAGATCCAGCTGTCGACTGTGGCCAGGTTTAGACAGTTTTAAATCTAAGGCCTTCAATGGTTCTCATAATCGCCCTACCCAGATTCATGCAATACCAAGAGTCACAAAGTCTACATGAAGAGCTGCTTATCAGTAGCATGTATTTATAAAATAAAGGTTGGGTAAAGAGATTAGCAAAGAGCACTAAAAATAGTCCTATAAGCAAACAAGCTTTTGTAAGTCGACAGTTCATTAAAAAGTCAATACTTGAGCATCATTATTGTGAGAAATATTCAAGTAATGGGTCATGCAACTTGGAAGATTGCAGCCTCTTATCATCTTAGCCATCTTTTTTAGATTGGAACACAGAAAGTATCCAGATCTTTCTACAAGGCTGTATTTCAGGGTCCAAAAGGGCACAGGCAAAAGTGTAATGTAGCCAAGTGCCAACCACAGGTATGTAACCTAATAAGTATCGTAGGTATTGAGCCAGCCATAGATATTCGTTTCAGGTCAGGAGAAAACTTTTCCTAGATGAAAGTAATCTCAACTAACTCATAACGTCAAGGCAACTGGATAACAAAAACATGCTTTAATCTACTCTCCCTTTTAAATACTCAACAAACATAACAGGATGTGATTTTACACTTCTCCTTTCCCAATCCCAAGAGGGACCAAAAAAAAAAAAAAGACAAAGTCTTGAGGGTGTGAAGATCTCACTCCATCATCTTCCTGTGTGCCTGTTACCATTTTTCTGGTTGTAGATTATCAACTAAGCTGGCAGAGGCTCAGAAAAGCCAGGGTGATAAGATGTAACCCTTTCTTTCCTCTACAGAAGAACTGTCCAATAGAAATACAGTGGAAGCCACAAATATGAGCCACGTGTAATTTTAGATTTTCTAGGAAACATACGTAAGAAGGTAAAAATAAACAGGTGAAGTTTATTTTAGTAATATCTTTTATTTAACCTATCAAAATACTATCATTTCCACATATAATAAAAAGTATTAAGATATTTCGTGTTCTTTTTTTTTCATACCAAGTCTTCAAATGCCATGTGTATTTTAGACTTACAGCACATTGCAATTCTAACCAGCCACATTTCAAGAGCTGGAGAGCCACAAGTGGTACTGGTTACTAAGCTGGACAGAGCGGTTCTAGAAGTCAATAGTAGGTGAAATTTGCAGTGTCTCAAGTTGACTTTATGAGGGACATACAGATAAAATAGGTATCAACTCAGTTTCAGCAAGTTGCCAGACTACGGAATTTGGTAGCATCTTGAATGAAGGAACACACCTCATTTCAAACTAGTGTGGGCATGGATGGCTTTTAAGCTAATGCTTCCTACCAAGTACTGGCAATGCCACTTACTCTTTGGGAAACCTAGTCACCAATGTAAAAGCATGTGTTGTTTTTAGCTTCATTTTACATAGGAGTCCAGGAAATTCTGCTCACTTGACAAACCCGTTCTCAAGGAATTCTCCCAGAGGAGCAGGAAATGGTCAGACATACCCGCTGACACACCCCACACACCTTGGACATCCTATTCCACGTGGTCTACGTGTAAGTCACAGGCATGAGAAATGAGATGTAGCGGTGATCAGCTTTTATTATGCTGCAGCTATGGGTGGGACGGTTTGAAAGCTGACCTGGTCTTACCAGTATTACCTACTTCGCAGGCTTACTGTGATGACCAAGGGCAGTAACAGAGAGAGCTCTTAGCAAACTGTAAAGCGCTATAAAATTCTAGTTAGTACTGAGAAAGAACACCATTCCTCACCTGGAAGAGCAGATAGAAAAACAAATACTACCTCGAAACAGAGATGTTGGGGGTAGGGGGAAACCATGAAAATACAGATTGTTCTTGGTGGACTTTGTTCTCTTTCAAGTACAGAAAAAGGTTGAGTAAACTCTAGTACCTTTCCCTCGAAATCGTGGGAGACACTGAAAAGTAAGCGAGCCAGCTAGGAGGACAAGCTTCTACCTCTGCTCATTCCCCCCACCGCCCCAGTCCCACTGCCTTCCTCATCCCAAATACTGTATGAATCAAAACAGTGATTCCAAACAATTAGATTTCTCCTTCCCAGGGCTTCCTTGTGGCCTGAAAATGCAGCGCCACCGGCGATACTGGCGCCTCCCGCAGCAAAAGTCACTGCCTTCCCGGGAGTCCTGGCTGGAGGTTTCTCTCCGGCGCAAATGCCACGGTGTTGGCTCTTGCGCCGCCCTCTCGCCTTCTCCAACAAAAACAGACAGGCTTGGCGACCCGCCGGAGTCTCCCTCTACCTGTCCGACCGCCCCGTCATGCCTGCGGACGGCTCTGGTCCGGCGGGAGTCACCCACACAAAGGCGCCTTGTGCCTCTGCGCTCGGGTCCCCGAGTCGCCGGGCACCGCACCCGGGCCAGGCAGGGAGAGCGCCCCCCGGCCCGAGTGCCGAGTCCGGAGATCCACATCACCAGCCCTCAACCTCCACAGAAAGGCCACCCCTACTCCCTGGTTTAAGGATGGGGCTCCCCTCGGTTTGCCACAATCCGCACCCCGGAAAGGAAGAGCTCGGAGCAGGTATGAGAGATACCGGCGCACAGGCCACTCGGCAGAAGTTTGCATTGTCACCGGGCTGTGCCCTCACCGCTTCTCGCCGGGAGGAAGGGCCAAGCACCCCCTACCCCAGTTCCCCGCCCAACCATCCCCGAGGCTGGAGGACTCCGGACACTCCCCCCGCAAGGCCCGCGCACCTCTAGTCCAGTCCACCACTTGTTTGGGGCTCCACTTGGTCACGGGTTCCATGGTAAACGGCTTCGCCTCTCGCTGGGTTGAAGAGTCGGAGATAAAGTGTTGCTGCCTGTGCTCCGGTGGCCCTTCCCGGGAGGGCGCGCCCACGGCTGCTCCCTTGCGCCCGAGCGACTTCGTCAAGGCTGCATGGCCGCGGTCAGCGGGTCGTCCCAGCGCAGCTCCGCCAGGGGAGCCTGGCCCTCTCCCTCCAGCTGCCACAGTCCAGCTGCAGCTCCTTCTTCCCCCGCCGCCGCCGGGATCCTGGGCACAGCTGCTGCTCCTGGGCGACGGCAGCGGCAGGCACGCCGGGCTGCGACCCCAGACCCCTGGCCTCGGCTCGGCACGGGAGCCTCCCGGCCCGGGACCACTTCCTTAGTTCTCCTGAGGCGCGATCGGCTCTCCCTCGGCCCGTCTTCTCGCCGGCTGGTTCCCCGGGGTCCCCGCTCCGCGTGCGCTGGCGTCCCGGAGCCTTCACGGCGCAGGTCCCACCTCCTGCGCCGCCCTCCCGTGCCGCACTGGCAGGGAAGAGCGCAGAGCGTGCGCGCTGGGGTTGCAAAGTTTCAGCTCCGGTCACTGCAAACCGAATAAAAGAGAGGGCGGGGCCGAGGGGCCAGGGAAACTCGTGGGAGGGGGCGGGTCCGCCCGAAGCGGCCGACTCCGGTTACTTTCCCTCTCTAAGCCGGTCTGGCTTACACCCCCAGCGTCCTGGGCCCTGCTTTCCTTTTCAAGGGGCGGGTTGTAGATCGCGCGCGCACCCTGGAGAGCCTGCTGGCTTGTGTGAGGCCCTGGCCCTGTGGGTAGCAGAACACTCTGTCTCGCTGTGAGCAACAATACACTTAAAAAAAAAAAAGTAAGATCTGCATGTTCTGTTCATTTCAAATGCTTTATGTCATAATACTACTCTGCCATTAAGCCGTCATTTTAAGTTTCTTAAAGTAGAACAGTTTTTTTTTTTTTTAGATGGAGTCTCCCTCTGTTGCCCAGGCTGGAGTGCAGCGGCACGATCTCAGCTCACTGCAGCCTCTGCCCCACAGGACACACCATTCTCCCGCCTCAGCCTCCCGAGTAGCTGGGATTACAGGCGCCCGCCACTACGCCCGACTAATTTTTGTATTTTTAGTAGAGACGGGGTTTCACCATGTTGGCCAGACTGGTCTCGAAATCCTGACCTGAGGTGATCCGCCCGCATCGGCCTCCCGAAGTGCTGGGATTACAGGCCTGAGCCAGCGCGCCAGGCCAGAACAATTTTTTTTCATTTATATGTTGACTGAAATCGTAACAATGTAACTCTTTTAATGTTATTGCTATGAAATTTCAACTTTGCGACTAAAATTAGATTGATGGCTTTTAGCGTTATATTTTGCTATATTATAATTTCATATTTACAGCGTGAGCTAATGCTCCTTTGGATTAGTCATTAACCGTGAAAGGAAAGTTGTTAGCCAACAACAACAACAAAAAATAGCTCGTGCACAATTTCAGCGCCTGGCAGGGGGAGGGTCCTTCCATATTCATGGACTCCAACTGGGGCCAGAGTTAACGCTAAACTGGGGGAAAATCTAATTTGAATGCCTGCCTCTCCTTCAAGTTCCCCCTGCATCCTAACTGTCTCCCCCACCCCTGCCACCCTCGCCACCACCCCCCCCCCCTCCCCCCCCAACACCCCCCCAACCCCCCCGCCCCCCCCCCAGCAACCTCTACCTCCCACTCTTTTTGGCACTGAATGATTCTTACTTTCAATTACGGTTATTTATTTATATCTTCCTCTTGGAGACTATTAACCCCGTGAGGGCAGAACCTACTTGATCTCATATAGAATTTTCTTTCCTCCCTTTCTTCCTACCACCTAACTTGTAGCACCCAGCACGGGACCAAAGGCAAGGTTCGTATTTATTCATTCAATAAATATCTGGGACTGCTTCCTATGTGCCAGCCACTGTATTCAGTATTTGTTGAAGTCGTGTGATATGTGCTGCTTACACAGGTCTGTTTGGACGCACATGTGGAAAAATGGCTAGCAGCCAGCCTAGCATGTGATGAGCTGGAGCAACCAAGCAAAAGAAACATTTTTAAACAGCAAAACATCAGACCCACCTCCCATTCAACTCCCTTAAAGGACTGGGCAACACAGAGACACACAACTATCAAATATAGTGATTTTTTTTTTCATCTAGCGAAAGTGACTGGGAGACCACGAAAGTTGGCAAAGGCAATGACAAAATTCCTGATCAGTAGTTATCCTGTTAAAAAAAAAAAATGACCTTTAAACTTAATGACATCTGGCATTAACCATCTTTACAGCAGTCGGCAGGGAGATGGACCTTGACATTGGTTCACTGCAAAGTGTCAGCAACCTGATGCACACCTTTGGTTTCAGCAATCACTGCCTGTTGTGTCATTTCTGATTATGATTAGGGTGACCACATAACTTACCTCCAAATCAAAATATTCTTGAGCATGAAAGAAGAGACTATCAAGAATTCCATTGGATTAACATGAATAAACTGGGCCATATGGTCCACACAATTATAAAGAAAGGTCAAATATTAATGATTTTGCCATGGAATTTTACTTGATGTTTTCACGTCTTCAGATTCATTGGCAGTAGTCTTTACCAGAAGAGCTAAAACACTAAAATTCTGCGAGTCAAGCAAGAGTTTGCAAAACATCCCACGGAGCCAACACACTATCTACACTTGATACATAAATACAGCACAGCTAGAGAGGAAGGCCACGCTAAGATCTCTTACCCGGAAGACCAATTAACTATCTAAATGAATTAGCATTCTGTTTACACTTCAACTCCTGGAGGCTAATTACTATTTAAATAAAGCCTTCTACCTTAATTACTGCTGTTAGCCTGTGAAAGTTTTAGCGAGGCCTGCCTTCCTAGCTGAAATGCAAACTGGAGGACATGCAAAGCTATTAATGGCATACAAAGTTAATAAAGGCAGAACCTTAAGTAAATGGCTTTAAAAATTAAGTACATATAAAAGGATAATTTGTAAATTTGCTAACATTTCTATCTCTGCTAGCTAAAATCTGTAGCTATTACACCATATGTTCACGCACGACACCAAACTGCAGCTATGCCATCTTCCAGATAAGAACTCTTCATTTGTGCCTTGATGTTTACTACAATTCCTCACACATACATAATAAGCCTTCTTAAAATTGAATTAATATGTAGAACTGATACTAGACCCCAGATCTTCTAGATTTCTTTCCAGCTCTTTCATTTTTCTGACTCTTCTCCTTCTTGCATGTTTAAGTCATTTATTCAGTTGATGAAAACGTATTAGGTACTTATTAGGCACTAAACTAAGCACCAGAAGGATTCAGAAATGATGAGTAACCTTTTAGATCAAAAACACCATGTGACTTTGTAAGGGTGGATTTCTTCTGTAGTCTTTCATCCAAGGAAAGTGACCTGGTAAATAAACCCAAACAAGGGAATTCGAGGACCAATGTGATATTAACATTTTAAGCTTGTTCAAAATTTATTACTTCTTTATGTGAGAACAAGGGATGGAGTATTTTGGATTAGTGGTTATAACTATAATTTGATAAACTCAGAGGAGCAAATTAAGCAAACTTTTAAGCAAATTATTAATCTGTAAAAAGCCAGTCTCCTTCCCCAGTTAAAAACAATGTTTTCCAGAATAAAAGAAAAAAATAAATCAAGTTGCTCTAAATATTCAACTTTATTTCACAATCTGAGATTCTTCTCTGATTTTCTTTCGCTCATATTTCTTTTTAACTATTTTCAGAATATTCAAAATTATTTAATTTTTTCACATATAATTGTCTCGTGTATGTTCGTAAGTTATCTTTCATCTTGAGAGATACCAAAAAAAAACCTGCAGTTTTCTGCCTGGAAAATATCCTACAGTCAGAGCTAAGCATTCTTATCTATGACATTACATCACTGCGAAGTCATCACTGGTTAACTAAATTATCCCGACTGCTCATGTTCTTGTCTTTCATTTAATTCCATTTGGTCTGAATTCTTCACACCATAGTAATGTAGTTATCTCCCTAAACATGCCAGGTTCCCTATCAGATAATTCAGGTAGTAAAGACTTCAAGCTTTATTATTTTTTTATTTTTCAAGTGCTGCCTTATTCAAATTCTTCTGATCATTCAGGAACATTAAGTCATTCTACAGTTGGAAAGCTGGTATTTGGCTTTCTTTTACTGAGCCCTATCTCTAACTCAAAGATCAATGTCAATTAGATAAATATTCAAAAACCTCACCTACTTTAAATCGTACTTGGAAAAGTTGATTAATCTTTTCTAATAAAAAGAGAAACATTGACGTTGCTAAATTCTATTTTCAAGGCCTTATCGTTGTACCTTGGAAGAGTTGATAGATGAGGCAGTACCCACAAAAGAACTGTATGTCCTTGCCCTGAAGTGCAGAAGCTACTAACGAAGGAGGGTGCTACAGACAAAGAGGGAACAATCAAGCCTACATTTTTTTCCTGTGGATTTCTGTTACTTTTTGTACCCCCTATGAAGTTGTGGAGTATCCAAAGAGAACAGAATGCCATTTGCACCAGCTGTTCTTACAGTTCCAATTTAACTTTATGGACTCCTAATCTCAGAACAAGTCAATATAATACCAAGAGTTTCAGACTCAGTGATTTTTGTTTCAATCGTAATTCCTATGTTGATAAGGACAAAGTCTCAGGGTGAAAAAAGATTAATGAATGTCACTCTAAACCTAAAAATAAACCAATAATTAAGTTAGGCAATGTAAAAATATAACATGTGGAAATAAAATGCAGATTTGGCCCCATACCGTGGCTCACGCTTGTAATCCTAGCACTTTGGGAGGCCGAGGCAGGTGGATCACTTGAGGCCCGGTGTTCGAGACCAGCCTGACCAACATGGTGAAACCCCATCTCTATTAAAAATACAAAAATTAGCCGGGTGTGGTGGCAGGCACCTGTAGTCCCAGCTACCTGGGAATCTGAGGCAGGAGACTCCCTTGAACTCAGGAGGCAGAAGTTACAATGAGTTGAGATCATGCCACTGCACTCCAGCCTGGGTGAAGAGCGAAACTGTGTGGAAAGACAGAAAAAGAGAGAGGGAGGGAGGGAGGGAGGAAAGAAGGAAGGAAGGAAGGAAGGAAGGAAGGAAGGAAGGAAGGAAGGAAGGAAGGAAGGAGATGCAGATTTCAGTATCCTAAACATGCTAAGCTGAAATTTCAAAAAATCTCTACAATGTTAGCAAGAACATAAAAATAATTGTTTATATATTGTTTTATGTATGCAAGACACTTCTAGTAAAAAATAAAAAATTAAAAATATGTTTTGTTTTATATTTTCCTAACTTCAGTTTGGCATAACAAATATTTAATAATCCTATTTCAAATAAAATAGAAATATATACACAAATGCCCCAGACTATAATTAAGCAAGTTTAATTAACTTTGAACTCAGTCTAAAAGTTGTCTGCTCTTCCATTACTTAACTACCATTCCATACTGAGGAGGAGATTTTCTTCTAGTTTCAACCTACCAAAGGTATTTAGATTCTGCAGCCACTGCTAATCAACACATCCAGATTTTTACTAAAGGCACATATATGTTTCCCCTTTGGGATCCTTAGACATTTGAGCCTGTAACAGGAGACTATGCCTTAATTTTCCACAACTAGCTCCTTGCATTTGGAAA